TTGGGCGCTGCAAACTAACTTTCAAAATTCTAGGGTATATAAAAGTTGCATTTTTCAGTCACTATGAGGAAATATTAATGAAGAATCATCAGTCTTTCGGAAATATCATGTTTAGCTAAAATCTTTTGGAAGGCATCAGTTAGTAGACATTTTAAGAAAACGCAGACTAAAACAACGCTTTGGGGCGATCCCATCACTTATCCTAAATTTCGTTCATAAAAAAAAACAACTCATTTAAATTGAATTAACAATGGTGTCTAATAAGTGGCAAATCTTTATCATTTCATGTATCGGTAGAGGGGGTTATTTTTTGACTATAGTAGATTTTTAGTTCATATTATATGAACAGGAAAGTGATCTTTTTACAAAACAATATATTTAATTAGGTACCTCCAAGAAAACAATAATTCAAGTTTAAAATTCATTTTGAAAAACTACTTTCTTCTTTAAACTAATTTTAATTTTATTTCCAATCTAACTGTTTAAATTTAATAGTTCCAATGAGAAAGCTACATTGTAGTATTTCAAATTGAATTTTAATTGACTGGAAGTTATTGTTCTACCTATCAGCAAAATCCCTAATTTCATTCGTATTGACAAATCTATCAACACAACATAATTATTTTTATTAAAAGGTCTTTCAAAAATAAAATATATTCGGTTTTTATATGAGGGGTTGAAAAATCTATTGACAGCTTGATGTAAGGAAACTTTGAGTTAGGGCTACATAACTAAAAACATTATTGAAGAAGAAATCGTGACCGCTTATTTAATCAAATCACTTGTGTGGGTTTTCTGGCAGTTTACCTTGATTCGTTCTTATGGTGGACTGGTCATGTCTTGAGAATGTTTGATGACAGGATATCCAAGCCAGTTAGATCAGGGCTACAGGAATGTAGGACGCCCATGGCTAAGATACAAGGACAAGCTGAAAAGCAACTTGTCAGCAGTTAATATACCACATAACACCCTTGAGCGCTTAGCTTTGGAGCGGGTAGAATGGAGATCAACGTGTTTTAGTGGACTCAACAATTTTCAATCTGCTTGTCTGAACCATCTTCAAGAAGCGAGAGCAAGATCTAAAAGGTCAACCCATCTAACAGTGATCTCATCTCACAATCCTCACACTTGCTCCGTATGTGGCCTCATTTGTAAATCACTAGAGGGTCTTAAATGCCACTTAAGATTAGCGCATAAACTTTCATAACTGAATCAATAAGCTGGCAGATCCTCATACGTCGAAACCGACGGGAGATTCCATATATATATATATATATATATATATATATATATATATATATATATATATATATATAAGTGCGTAGTAAGCATACAACTGAAAAAAAATTAGAAGTTGTCCAATATTTTACAGAATTTTAGGCATTTTGGCATAATTGCCTTACGAACACACGTCAGTTGCGGATAGAGTCCGACTTAGTTGCAGCTCCGTCGGAGGACAGAAGTGCAACTGAGGAAAATCACACTGTGAGGTGTCCGGCCAAGGGATGTGATGCCCGAGGCTGAACACTCTCATAGAACTAGGGAGAGGGATCGGTGTTTGCACCGAGGCCAGCTCACCCGACAGTTTCACGGCCTCGGGTAATATTTGTTCTTGGCCCAAGTTTACGAGTTCTTTTTCCCACGTAAAACACCGACCTTGTGCACAACAAGTGTCTCAGTGGGAAGGCCGGGGTAATTATCGTTGCCTACGAAGACACTTGGTGAGTGAATTTACTAAATGTAAAATACGTTTAAAAATTATTATACTTATCTTTTATTTTCTGTAGATGCCGTGTATGGACGTCAGTATTTGCAAAAATATTTGTGTATGCATAGAAAAGTTCGGAACTCTTTATAAAACACTTGAAAAGTACTGTACTTTTCCGTTTATGATCAGTAAATAATAATAGTAATTTAATAGCATTATCACTTCTATAAATTAAAACATACTTTTTGAAGATTTAATAAAGTATTCAAATTAAGATTTTAAAAAATTAAAACAATTCTTGTAAAAATTCATTATTACTCAAATTTGTTTTTCTTAAGACAATAGTGTCCATAATTTAATCTCAAGGATACATGACACAGTGGATAAAGGCGTTAGTTAGATCCAGTGACAGGACCCAAAGAGTGTGATTTCAATACCCGGTTAAGGCAGTGGAGAACTTTCAGAGGGAAATTGGCAGGAGATAACTGATAAGTGACATCCATCAAACATGGTACGTGGAACTAGAACAGTCTACCCAGGTGAGCAAAATAAAGGGTTCAGTTCGATATTCCAACCACCTGAAGAAGGCCGGAGCGTACAACGACCGAAACCTTGTGATAAATATGGCGACAAATATGAGGACAATAGTCCAAATAATGTAAATTTTTCTCACCTTGCATGACTGTTAAAGTTCTTGCGTTAAAGTTCCTTGTTTGTAGTTGTTTAGATGAAAGGAAATGTGATTTCTACTCGGTTATGTATAACAAAAGGCGCAAGAGAGAAAGTGACAGGAGAGTAAGTGTCACGTAGCTTGTCGAGGAAGAGTTTTATTATCAGGTAGCTTACTGAGGAAGACGATAGAATGAGTAAAAGGATCTCTTTGAAGGCGCGTCGGGAACTGACGTTGCATGTATCCGTCTTTATCACCTTACTTGGGCTATTTTTTGGCCGAGCCTAATGGCTCGGGAATTCCCACGTTAAAAAGGCCTTGTGCCACATGACACCCTCGTGGGGGGGTGACTGAATATCATCACCTTACTTGTTTTGTCTGTCTAGAGACTTTATTTAAATACTCAGTAAAGGGATCACAAACCATTTTTTTTAATTATTATTGTCAGCAAGAACAAGGACCGTTGGTTGAATAATGTTAATAATTTTATGTTGAAATAATAATCTATTAACCGGAAGGATGCCTGAGTCTTCCGACACAGAAACCATTTATGTCATTTGATGATTGGCTGTCTTGGTGTTTATTTCCGTATTCACTCCACAAATTATTATCATTATTTAAAAAATAAAATAGAAAATAAAAATTGACAGCTTGTGTTAAGTATTTTCTGGACCGATTCAAGGAAAAGGCCATTGTTTCAGTATCTTTTCCGATGACACGAATATACATGTTTCATTTGTGTTAGGGATTGAACTTTAGACTCAATAGTTATTTTGAGGGAAATATGTTTGAAGTATCCCCATTCAAAATTGCCATATATTTATTATTTTCAGTCATTTACATTTAGAATTATAACGTTTGAAATAACTTTTTAAACAAAAATCATTTTATTCATTGCAATCTTCTAAAAATACGTTCTTCTTTATCCGATAAAACAAAACTATTATCTAATTGAATGTCTAATTATTCTGCTCATTAAAATTCCTTCTCTTTGTAAAATGTAATAGAAAATTAAAACTATTTGCTCTATTCGGACTTTTATCCTCATCTTTATTGCACTATTCAAAACGTTTCGGACGTTGTAGCTCCGGCCTTCATCAGGTGATTTAAATTACGAACCACACCCGTTATTTCGTCCACCGGGGCATATTTTTCTAGTTTCATGTGTCATACCTCTTATGGGTTTTTCAGTTATTTCCCTTTAACTCAACTCTCCATGTTTTGCCTCGCAATTGCTGTGGCCTGGTATTGAACTCAAAATTCTTTGGTTCTAGTCACTTCACAACACTTTGGGTCTAGTCACTGGATCTAATCAACGTCCTTTTACCCACTGGGAAATATGGCCTTGAAGACATCTGTTTAGGAATTTTGAGGAATTATAAACCTAATATCACAGTAACATTTTTTCCAGTGCTTATATTGCATTTTTTGGTATTATTATTACATTTATGCTAAAACTAATATTGCAATTTTTGTTGTTATTCGTTGCTTTTGTCTAGCATTCGCTATTGTTAATTTTGCCACTTTTAACTATCCCTAAAAACTAGACGAAAATGAAAAAAAAAAAAAAGTTTTAATCCAAATAGAATAAAAATAGTATTCAAGCCTTCAAAAATTGAAATCCCTCGAATAAATTAAGTTTCTTACCTTATATTTCTACTGGCATCTTTTCTATTTCAATTTCTTCTTTTCTCAAGATAATTATTACAAGCGATACTAAATAGGGAGTGAAAGTAGAGAAAAGGCGAGAAACGAAGCAACTAAAAGCAATGAATATAACATAATAGTGAGTGTGTGAAAGACAGACAGTCACTGAAAAGCAGAAATTCTTTTGCTTCCTTTAGAAAAGGCCGTTTTCCCTGTTTTATTATTCCCTTAAGGTGGGTGCATGAAAAAGAGACAGAATAAGTAAGTGGTAAGAAACAAGCCACCGAAAAGCAGAAATTCTTCTGCTTGAATTCCAGTCGTAGTAAGTCAGCCAGCAGACGCACTGTACTGAATTGATGATATTTTTTATTGTGTGTGGCTGAAATCCCTCGGATAAATTATGTTTCTTACCTGAGAAACAAAATTAGGTCTGCAACATTATTTTCTGCCTGGCTTTCTTACAAGTCACTAGAGCCCCTCAGATACGTGTTTTCCGCCATAATAAGTTCAAGAATGCCTGAAATTATTATTTTTTTATTGTTTAAAAAAAAAAAAAAGACAGGTGGGAGTTTAAGGATATACACGAAATTTATATTTACAAAAGGACGAATAGTTCAGGGATTTTTCTGCTTTATCTCACACAAAACATGAAATCCCTCCATTATTACTCGACTGGAAATTCCTCCACTAGGAAATATGCAGTTTTGTTTTAGTTTTCAATATTACTATTGACCTATATTTTGTTACTTGAAAATAAAAGCATTTATTTGTTTTTGCCTTGATTCTGTATATTAAAGGCTGAATCACTTCTCAGCATGCTCACCAATTTTTCCCCATGCAGAAGCGTGGGTCATCATCTCTCGCAGATGAAAGAAATTTATATCGAGTGATGGACAATTCAGTATATGCCCGATATATTATCAGGAAAACACGCAGAGATTTTGCCGAGTGTGACATCAGATATTAAATATGAACGTCACTGGAGTGAGGGGAGAATGTTTTGCTGACTTGACAGAAAAGAAAGAGACGCTGTCTAAGTGACATTTGCGTCATTTGCGTGCATCTGACAATATCAAAGAACATTGCACGCTAGGCACTGGCTGTAGTCGAAAAATGTATAACTCCTTCGTTTTTATAGATTTTGACTCAACATAAGGACGACACGAGGTTAAAATTCAAGTGCTTTATACGAGATAGTAAGAATATTTAGTACCTCTAATGTGGTGTGTTAGTGAAAGACTGCTTTGAAAATGAAAGTGTAAACATCCGCTTTTTACCAACGCGCGAAAAGGGATATCTTTCTCGTGTGCGGAAATGTTATCGAATAAAGTACTTAACCTGACATGAAGTCGCCCTGCAGGGTGTAAACGATTTCGACCTAAGATAAAACGCTACTACAGATAAAATAAAGATAATCAGAGTGTTTAACGACAACTTAATATTGTACACATGGCACAAAGATTTCTCTATCATCTCGAATACGTAATTTCTCAACCATTCACTTTCTACTTGCTATCACCCACCTCATTCTGTAACCCTCTGTTTTGACTGGCTCTTACGCCTTGTATCTCTTGATAGAAATTGAATCAATATCTTGATGTCTACATGAAAGGTTGCATAAATAGAAGTGTTTTTTTTTAAATATTTATTTTAATACTAGCTTAAAAGCCGCAATCTGTGGGGGCATTTAAATCTTGAATAATAAAAGTTCACACAGCATACAAAAAAAATCTAGGATAATTAAAATTCAGCTAATATATATGATTAGACAATTGTATTTGAAAAATCTAGAACAATAAAAATTCACCCAGTACATATATTTAGACAATTATATTTAAAAATTCGAGAATAATTAAAAATCACTTCGTATATGCAATGAAACAAATATATTAAAATTATCTAGGACATGTAATATTCCCTCAGCAATATAATTAGCCGAGTTATATTTAAAAAATAAATTTCACAGAGCATATATAGTTTGAAAAAATATATAACAAACTAGAATAATTAAAACTCACCCAGTATATATAATTAGACAATTCTATTTAAAAAAAATCGAGAATAATTAAAAGTCACCCAATACATATATAATTAGGCAATTATATTTAAACATCTAGAATAATTAAAATTCACACAGTGTATATAATTTAACAAATGTATTTAAATACTCTAGAATAAATACATTTCACCCAATATTTATAATTAGACAAATATATTTAAATAATCTAGAATAAATACAGTTCACCCAGTATATATAATTAGACAAATATATTTAAACAATCTACAATAAATACAATTCCCCCAATATATATAATTAGACAAATATATTTAAATCATCTAGAATAAATACAATTCATCCAGTATATATAATTAGACAAATATATTTAAATGATTTAGAATAAATACAATTCACCCAGTATATATAATTGGACAAATATATTTAAATACCCAGTATATATAATTGGACAAACACATTTAAATCATCTAGAATAAATACTATTCACCCAGTATATATAATTAGACAAATATATTTAAAGAATCTACAATAAATACAATTCCCCTAATATATGTAATTAGACAAATATATTTAAATCATCTAGAATTAATACAATTCCCCCAGTATATATAATTAGACAAATATATTTAAATCATCTAGAATAAATACAATTCACCCAGTATATATTATTAGACAAATATATTTAAATCATATAGAATAAATAAAATTCACCCAGTATATATAATTAGAAAAATATATCTAAATAATCTAAAATAATTCAAATTCACCCAGTATATATAATTAGACAAATATATTTAAATCCTCTAGAATAAATACAATTCACCCAGTATATATAATTATAAAAATATATTTAAATAATCTAGAATAATTCAATTTCACCCAGTATATATAATTAGGTAAACAAAATTTTAAAAAATCCCTCAATCGTTACACATTTGCCAAGGAATTTTCCTTTCAGCGTTAAACGTACTTTCCAGATTTTATCTATGGATCTCCTCATTTTGAAAATGTCTGCACCTTAGATTATCTACTTAAAAGATGTCATCCATAGGTAACCGGATGAGTTTTCGTTTATATGAGGAAAAAAAAAATTGAGATATGCAGTTACCAATATTTCCTAGCAGGAGTTAAAATCGATCGATGAAAAAATAACCAATAAAAGAACAAAAAGTAATGTTGGAAAGACCACCAGCAATATCAGTTAATTAAAATTCACCCTGTCCACCTTGGGGTTGGTCGAGATTAAGGCCGAATATTTTGCAGAATCAGTCAGTTTAATAATGTTTATGCTTTGTAATATGCAGTCAAATCTATAGAAAATTATATGAATAGTCGAGCCTTGTACATTGGGACAATTATCAACCTTTAGGGCTGGAGTTTGAATAGCAGATCGAGCTCGGAGAATTGATTTTAATTTTTCTTTATTTTTAATCACTTCACCCAAAGCAAGGCGGCAAATTCACTAGTTCCCAGTGGGGTTACAGGGAATGAAAATGGAAGACAAGACTGAGAAAGCGTATTATTAAGGAAAGGACAAAAGATTAGAAGACATAAGATAGCAACTGATGTTGCATTTAAATTTTTGAAGATTCTAGTTATCAGGGAAGGAAATTCACGTAGCGTATTTCCACAGGTGGGAAATGCGAGAAAAAGAACTGTTAAATAAAACTGACAGTTGCATTTAGCTATTGGTAGGACCTATATGCTAATTCATTAACACGCTTAAATTCATGTATCCTGTGCACCAGACTAAAAAGCTCGCTAGAGCAGTTATCATTAAAATAACTGTAGAAAATTGTTGTGGCCTTTTTAGGCCCAGAAATAAAAACACAGGAGAGGAATTGAGTTAAACATATATATTAACAGAAACAGTAATACACGCATATACAAACGAGAGTGTTACAGCAAGAATATTCGGTCCGACGGTCAGAGCTGAATGCTGGAAACTTACCTCTCTCAAAAAGGCAGTACCTGCTCCTATTTATAGCAGAGAGAATCCGTGCGTGACTGGGTGAATTACCATAACAAAAAGGCAGAGGGAAGTCACATCACATCAATGAGAAATGACTGAAGTCGCGATGCCTGGTCAGGATCGATTATATAACAGAATCTTCTTTGGTTTTGTTAAGAATCTCTAAATATAAATCAGGAGTACGAAGCAAGATATGTCAGAAGTATTCAGTGCAGGGATAGATGGTAGATTTGTAAATGGCTTCTGACAAGTGAAATATTCTGGCACAGTCACTGAACTTTCCTTACAATAGATGCAGCTATTGATTCGATGTAGTCGCTCCAGTACAAATCAGTGGAAAAACTGAGATGATGAAGGTGCACTGTGTTGCTCTCTTCAATCGTTCAACAAATACATTTTTTTTTCATTTAAGGGATATATGTGAAAATATAGAGAGTTAGTGCATCCAACCTATCAAGATGGTCACAAGAGAAGTCTATTTGGCAGCTGAATGAGACAGACTGTGAATGAATGAAAACAGTCAATGGTATTACACTGCAGCGTCATAATAGTGTAGCGACGGTGTTACCAATATTGTAAGGGTGTGTACTACATATATTTAACTTTGGCTAAGAAAGGTGGGATTAAGAACAATGTGTGGACGCAATGCAATTTATATTTGGCGTAAATAGCACATAGTATAAAATACAAAACAGAATGTAATGATTTCAAAACATAACAATTGAATTTATTAAGTATTTGATGCACATGCATGGGAACAGAAAAAGGTCAGACAGTGTTGTGTCTCTTAGACTAGGTAATATTTGTACCTAAGCTCATGAAGAAGAACTTGATTATTAAACTGTAGAAGAATGAGTTGTTGCATGTTTGGAATTGTGTATTGTACAAGTTGGTAAAAGTTCAGAAGAGATTTCAGAGTTCGTACTTGCGTGATTGTTGGTAATGCTCTTTAACGTCTGACTACATGGTCAAGACGGGAGTTTTTGAAGATTACATCTTGGCAGCAAAGAGAAAGATGAATGAAAAGAAACACACGGGAGCTTACACGTGTTTTGTTTATATAAGATCGCGTATCACGTGAGAGGCTCCGACTGAATTGGCACCAAAATAGATCTGGCGATTTGATTGGTCGAAACTGACCAATCAGCAAGATAGATTGAAGGTGATTAACCAATGAATGTTTGTTATATATTTTGTAAGTTGGTGATGGTGAAAGTCACACAGGAATAGTGCATTTCCTAGTAGGGGTTAACTGGCTGTTGTGGAAGATTCCATAATAGTACAGTTGTTCTTTTTATGCTGGAACTCTTCCTATTTAACTTTCCATCTCCCACAAGAAGATCCTCGTTATGTGCTCTCTCATCTGGACCTGAGCAATGAAGAATCGCCATTATGTCTTACTGTTCCTATTTCTTAGTAAATTTTTCCGCCATTTTCCCTATGATTCCTTGTTCTACCATCCATTTACACAAGCTCTTTCATTGTGTTCCATCTGCTGCTATTGTCTTCAATGCGTTCTGTAATCATCAAAGTCCGATTTCCACATAGTGAAATTTCAGCTTTAAACTTAACCACAGATTCCCTATTATTTACACCATTTTAATTATTCGAACCATCGCTCTCATCTTCATTATAATATTCCCGACGTCTCAGCCATTTAACGCTCCGGCCTTCTTCAGGTGATTCGAATTTCGATCGAACCCTTCATTTCGTTCTAGTTCCCCGTGTCATGCCTCTTCGGAATGCCTCAGTATCGGTTATCTCCCTTTGAATAAACTCACCAAGTTTTTGTTCACCTCCGCAGTATCCAGGTATTAAACTCATAACTCTTTGGGTCACGTCACTAGACTGAACCCATATTTTTCCGCTGGACTAAGTGTTTCGTTTCAAAATGCCAATCACTTGAAGAAGGCCGGAGTGTAATACCGTCGAACGTAGTGAATATGGCAACGAAGCTGTGAACAACCTCATCTATGAAATATCCTCATCTATTGAAATATTAACGTATTGTTCCTGTTTTTCTTGGAATCTAATCGTTTATCCCATGTTCTAACTTGGTACAATCAGAATCCTTCTGCCAAACCACATTCCGAT